CGATCTACAATCATTTTTGGGGACTGCTGCCTACGTCCAACGCTTCTGCAGAAATTTTGCGGATGATGCGGGGCCGCTCTTCAACCTGCTCAAGCGGAAAAGCAAAGCGGTCGAGTGGACGGAAACACTGAAACAGCACTTCTCGCAACTGAAGGAAAAGATCGGACAAACACCTGTGCTTGCCATCCCTGACTTTGGCAGGGATTTCTACCTAAGGATGGATGCGTCCGACTTTGCCATTGGAGGTGTGATTTTTCAGCTTGAAGAAAGAGATGGAGTCTCAATTGAACGGCCAATTGCTTTCGCTGGCAGGAAATACAAAGCCGCGGAAGTCAACTATTCTATTCGAGAGAAGGAGCTGCTAGCAATTCTGTTTGGACTACGGACGTGGCGTGTCTACTTACTTGATCGACCGTTTGTGGTTGAGACCGACCACAAAAGTCTCGAGACAGTATTCAAGCAAAAGTCTATATCTCGCAGAATTGCTCGTTGGTACGATGAACTGGCAGAATACCAGTTTAATATCCGATACATTAAGGGGCAAGCAAATGACGTGGCGGATGGAATATCTCGGCGACCTGACTTCTTTGTAGCGCGTGAGTACGACATACTAGCAGCTATTGCAACGCGTCAACAACTTCGACAGCGTGTTGACGAGTCGCTACCAGCGACAGTAGTGGAAGCGGTTCGGCGCTATGATGAAGACGCTACCACACGAGTTCTGATGCGTCTACTCGATGTGAATCGTACCGCTGCTGAAGACGATGCTATGGTTGCTACTGCACCACGTCACATCGAACGCTACTCATTTGACAAGGGACGTTTATACTACCAGGCTGGGCATCATACCGCTCCGCGACTTGTATTACCACGAGTCCCCGAGCTGATCGAGCATGTCTTACAGGAATTCCACGACAGTCCAGTATACGGACATCCTGGGATCGACCGTACCTGTCGCCTTGTTGATGAACACTACTACTGGCCGCGAATGATTAAAGATATCACGAAATATGTGAAAGGCTGTGAGATCTGTGCTCGTACGAAGGCTCGCAACGAGAGACCTCCTGGACTGTTGAACAGCCATGACATACCTGTACAGCGATGGAGCCACATTGCAATTGACTTCGTTACTGGACTACCAACTACGCCAAGTGAGCACGACAGTGTGATGGTAGTGGTAGACCATTTGACCAAACGGGCTCATTTTGTGGCCGGGAAGGCGACGAATACAGCAGAAGACATCGCAGATAAGTTCCACAAGGAGATCTTTCGGCTACATGGATTACCGAATGTGGTCGTGTCGGATCGAGACGCGAAGTTTACGTCTAAGTTTTGGAAGCAATTGTGTGTACTGTTGGGAATGGAGCAAAAGATGACAACCGCATTCCGACCCCAAGGAGACGGACTTACTGAGCGTCTAAACCAGACCTTAGAAAACTACCTTAGGGCTTTCACGAATGCAGATTCGGATGATTGGGACCATCACCTCTGCTTAGCAGAATTCGCATACAACTCAAGGTTTCAATCTTCGATCAACATGTCGCCGTTCGAGGCCGACATAGGATACATTCCTCGGACTCCTGCAACGATTCAGCTGACAAGTGGGTCTCAAAATGAAAAGCATTCGGAATTCATTGCGAAGCAAGCAGACCTGTTAGTCAAAGCGCGACGTAGCATTGCTGCAGCACAGGATCGCATGGCAGACTACTACAACAAGAACCGAAAACAGCAAACCTTTGCGATTGGCAACGAAGTTTTCCTTTCTGGTCAACATATATCAGCAAGGCACCTCGGGACAACGAAAAAGAAGCTTGGAGCTAGGTGGACTGGCCCGTTTGAAATTACCAAAGTTGTAGGCCGTGGTTACTACCAACTGCGGCTTCCGCCGAAACTTCGAATGCATCCTGTCTTTCATACGAGTTTGCTCAAGCCGTACATTGCCAGACAATATCGACGACAAAATCAACGTCTGTTCCGAGTACGACTCGCGGATGGAACTGAAGGTGAGCTGGTGGACGATATCATTGACTACAAACGCAACAAACGCCAAGATTTCTACAAGGTCAAAT